GCAAGGGCCCAGCAGTTACCGCTCTGGAACAGAAAATACAGCGACAACCAACCACTGCTACTTCTTGAGTGTTACTTAGTCTAGGCACCAGGACTCGTGACGTCTCGCAATAACCCTCTGTGGGAGGAACGATGAGCGGTCCCATTTTACAGATGAGCGGAGACTCGGTCACACAGGAAGACGGCCCTAGCCATCATCACAGCCCCAGTGGTGCTGAAGGGCTGCTGTCTGGAGAAACCCACCTCTCCACCAGGAGGGAAGTGTCAGCCATGTAATCACTTCCTAATTGTAGCTCGCCACCCAGCCACAGCGTATGGATTCTCAACAACAGAGTCACATTCAGTCCTTGATCAGAGAGACCAAGCTGAAGCCTCTGCAATGAACCTGACGTATTCAACAAACAAAAACATGTCCAACCTCACCAGTGATCAGGAAAATACAAATTTAAATGATAACACTTTTTGCCTCTTGGCAAAAAGTCAGAATTGACAAGGGGCACTTTTGACCCCTTCAGGGGTACCGTCACTTAGCACTCCTCTGAAAGACAAGTTGGCAGTTTTCAATGCATATACCCCCTGACCTAGTCACTCCACTTCTATACAAGGATAAACACACAGTGCATCCCAGCCAATGCATCACTTAAAATAGAAGCAGCCAGAAGGCACGCACATATCGAGAGCGCTGCTGATGAATGATGAACCAGAGGTCTGCCAGAGATGGGGAAGGATGGTCCTGGATATGCTGAAGGGAAGGCCGGTTGCTGACCCACCACATGTGGAGTTAAAAAAAAGAAAAAAGTCCGAAAGACACACACCATGCTGGACAGAGGCTACCAGGGTACCAGAGCAGGGGCACGGGAAGGGATAGCTTTCATTCTTCACCTCACTATTTGAAATTTTACACAGGCACGCGCTAACTCATAGTATTTAACTTTTTTTACTTTCTTAAATGTTGGGGCACAGAAAGTCTCTGGGTAGAAAAGGGACAGGCCTACAAAAGGATTTTTTGGACAAAACAGACTGGAAAAGGAATCTCAAACCCAATATACCCAGCAGCACCCCAGGGGCACACTCACCTGAGAAAGTGTTGTCTGCAAAACGTAACAGTAAACTGCTCTTGCCCACACCTGCAAGAGAGAACGCAGGAGATGAGAGGGGGCACGGGTCCCTCCCTCTAACCCAGTCAGTCCTTCAGGGAGATGGCACCCAAGTGCTAGGGGTGCCTGCTTGGGTGGCTCTGTCAGTTAAGTGTCCAACTCCATGATCTCGGCTCAGGTCATGATCTCAGTTTGTGGGATCAAGCCCCAGGTTGGGCTCTGCGCTGACAGCGTGGAGCCTCCTTGGGATTCTCTCCCTCCCTCTCTGCCCTTCCTCCACTCGAGACTGTGCGGGT